ATGCCGAGCACTGGAAATATTCACTCTGGAGTGGGCCCTTCTCAAGGGAACTCTACGTTGAGGCCTCGTGAAGCTATGCAGCATATGATGCGGGTAAGCTATTCAGTTTCTGTGGGTGATATTACTTTGTTTCTCATGTTGGCGACTTAGGCTTATCTAGTCACCACCTGGACTAATAAAAATTCGGGTCTGGTTCTGTTGTATATTTTTGTTTTTTGGGGTCCAGTCTCGAACCAGTTAAACAAGTTTATGAACAACTGAGAAATCAAAAACTGATGTTTTGAGGTTCAGATGCAGGCTGCACAAGGGAACGGTCAGGGGATCCCGGCTTTCAGTGGTTTGAGCGCTGGTTTTACCAACCAGACAACTCCTCCTGTTCAGACCTATCCAGGCCATCTTTCTCAGCCGCCACACGTACTTGGGAACACACATCATCCTCATCTCCAGAACCCTAGCCATGCAACTGGAGCACAACAAGCATTTGCATCCCGTCAAAGGCAAATGCATCAGCGGTGTATGCAGCAACAGCAGCAGTTTCCAGCATCTGGAGCTGCGATGTCACATGGATCACCCCAACCTCAAGTTCCTCCGATATCTTCTTCCCCGCAAAACAGTCCTCTAATGCAATCGTCGCTTGTCTCATCTCAACCACTATCGATGCCTCCAGCAACGACATCTCCTATTATGACAGCCACAGGGCAACAAACCCCACAGAAGCCTCAATTGCCGCCTCATGCTTTGGGTCGGAATCCTCAATCTGGTGTTTCTGGAGCTAACAGTCAAGCTGGAAAGCAGCGGCATCGCCAACTCCAGCAGCAGTTCCAGCAGTCTGGAAGACAGCATCCACACCAGCGGCAACCAACTCAAGGTCAGCAACCAAATAAGCTCTTGAAGGGAATGGGGAGAGGGAACATGATGCAACAGAGCATCTCTGTTGACCCATCAAACCTGAATGGTCTTACAATGGCCCCGGGAATGCAGATTATTGAAAAGAGAGAAACCGCGGTTCCATCTATTCCCTCTCAGCCATCCATCACGGGGACCAACACAGGCACACATCAACAGTCTAAACCACTGGTTCCTTCGCAATCTTCAAATCTTTCTCATCCGCAGCCAAAAGCGTTTCCAAGTACTCCATCTCCTTCTTCTCAACCGGTTCAACCAATGCGTGTGCATGCAGATAATAGCATCCAAGGCCAGGTTTCACCATTGGTGGCGGGTAACTCCTTATCCACATCTGGCCCTTCCGTTTCAATGACAGCCACACCTTCCAACCATCAGCATTTGCTGCAACACCAGAAGCAGGGAAATCAAGCTGCTCAGAAAATCCTCCAACATAATCACCTGGGGAACTCTGACTTGTCAGGGAAATCAAAAACTGTACGTACCCCGGGTGATCCACAGTCGGTAAACAATATCAACCCGATGTTAAATACGAGTGCAACAAAGGGTGTCACGCCTCAGCCTAGTATAGACTCCACTAACATTAGAGCTGCTGTTTCTGTTTCTCCTGCTACCGATTCTCCCCCAAAGGCATCAGAAACACCTTTGTCTGATTCCTCTGTGCAAAACACTGCAACATCTAAAGTAGTTAGCAGCTCTCTTACGGATTCAGTTGGGAGTGATGCAGTGCCAATGTCCGGTCAAGGAATAGGTCAGCAACACTTTCATGGGCTTAACGCCAGGACGCAGAAACCACAGCAAAGGCAGTTGTCTGAGCAGCAGCAGCAGCAGCAGCAGCCAGTACAAAATCAGAAACATCTTCCTGCTGCTGGAAAACCACAGCCCGAGCAGAACTCGCTGTTACAGGCAGCGGAAGAAAACACATGCTCGGGGCCTCCGGACACAAAAGTAGAATGAGGGTGAACAGCGATGATCCAAGTAGCTCAAGTAGCGGTAGATCGTCCGAGGGCATTTGCTTGCCCATTGGACAAAATTGTACAGGTACACTACCAATGATCAAATCTCTGTCCCCAACATCCCTGAGACTAACACGAGCAAAGCAAATGCTAAAAACCTTTGCAGATGGAGAAAGCTAATTGGCAAAGAGGGGCAGCAGATGATGGGAGAAGGTGATGATGATTCTTGCTGGTCTTTTTTGCCTTCCTTTTTTTTAACATAGAGAGAAGGACTCAAACATCATATATATTTTCCCTTCACCATCAATGTAAATTACCACTTTGGCGCCATCTTCCCCCCTTTTGGTCTAGGGAGAGTAGAGAAAACAGTTATAGAGTCGTGTCTTGTACAGGAAACACTCTCCATCTTTTTTCTTACTTCCTTAGGGTTAGGTTTTCATGTGTTAATTGTTTCTCACCCCCTCTTCCAATTGGAAAAAAAAAATTATTAAGGGAAGAAAAATGGTTTCCCCAAAACAGTTTTGTGCATAGAACATGTTCCTTCATTGGCTTCTGTTTTTGGTATCTGTGATTGTAAAACCCAAGGACTTTTAGATTTGTTTAAGTTTTTTTGTTAAATACAAAATCTGAAAGCAAACAGGGGACAAGATAACTTCACAGAGAACAGAACAGAGATTAGACAAATGTGATTTACTTTGATCAAACTCAATGGTATGTTTCAGTAAGAAGTTAGAGAGAGTCATCGAAGGCGTTGGTGACAAAGTGGAGAAGACGACTCTGAGATGTCTGAATCAGTTGGTGCCTTCTCCTCTCCATCTCCGCCCGCTTCCTCTCCATCTCCCTCGCAAACTCCATCTTCCTCCTCTCCATCGCCATTACCCTCTCTGCAAATGCCCTTATCTCTTCCGCTACTTCTCTCTCCCCTCTCCTCCTCCTTTCCACGACCTTCCTCTTCCTCGTCTTCTTCCTCTCTCTTTCTTCGTACCCCCAATACACTGCCTTCTCTCCTCCGCCGCTCGCTGCCGCCCCCGCCGCTGCTGCGGCGAATCTGTTCACCGTTCCGGGTCTTCTCAGTATGTAATTGATGCTCCTTGACTTGTTTCGCCTATCCTCTTCTTCTTCTTCTTCTTCTACATTGTCGTCGTCTTCGTCATCGTCGTTTTCATGACCAGCTTCTTCTTCTTCTTCTTCTTCTTCTTCATCGAAGTAGTTGCTTGCGTTGGGAGGCAACCGGGTCAGAGGCCGAGCCGAGATCGGCGTCTTCGGGTTACTCTCTAGCTCCTGCATCATCGAGTAGTACGGCCACGGCGATGTGGGACCAACTCGCTGCCTCTCGGCTCGGAATCTCTTCCGCATCTTCTCGATCTTGTGCCTGCATTGGGTCGCGGACCGATCAATGCTGGATCGGGCGGAGACGGTGACGGCGATCTCCTCCCAGTGGCCTGATTTCAGAGGCCCTCGTCCCAGCGAGTACCATTTCTCCCTGTATGCTTCGATGAGGAGGAGAGTCTCGTCGTGTGTCCAGAGGAGCGGCTGCGGCTTCCTCCCGCCGTCGGACGACGCGGCGGCCAGGGCTACGACGGTGGTGCGCGGCGGAGGAGGCGTGGTGGTGGAATTAGGGTTTGAAGACGACGGAGAAGAAGACGGCGGCGATGGCGTCGCCATTGTCAACGGAGGAATATTGGCGCTTGTTGGGGGTGTCGTCGTTGTCTCTCTGCGTGTGACCACTTTAATGTGGTTAAATCTACAGAGCACGAAAATACTTATTGGGCTTTTTTTAAAGGCCCAATACACAGCTTCATTACTGTTACAATTTGTATGCATATATGTCCGTATATTTATTATATATTTTAACATTTGAATTCCTAATATTTTTTTGCCCAATTTGATTTGACATTTCAGTTTTTAATCCATTATTTTTACTAGTTCTAAAATTTAGGGTTTGAGAATTTTATATAAACTAAGTGTTATTCCGTACAATAACACTATATTTACCAAAAAATATTAATATTTTAATATATCACGATCTTATGTAAATATATTTTATGATTTTAAGTTAAATATATATTTTTACACATCTAATAACAACAACAGTAAGATCAATACTTGGAACAATCTTTTTGTTAAAAAAATATTATCACTATACAACATTGAAACAAGGTTTTTAGTTTGTTAAAACTTGAAAAGTTATCGATTTCATCATTAGTCATTAGAGAGTGTGTGTATATATACGGTGCAAAGTTTATAATAAAATATTTTAAAATCGTATTTATCATTTCTAAAACTTCCCCATAAAACAAATCTTCAATAAAAAATAATATTACAAGTGATTATTGGATCAATGAATTTCATATTAACTATTTTTTTTAAACGATCTAATCTTTATATAAAGTACCGTGGATTCATGAGGAGTGACACATGTACTATGAGAAGAATATGAAAGATTTTTCAAACAATTTATTACCCATTAATATGACACAATATAATTTCCCATATTCTCAAAAATTGATGCGGACTACGTAATAACTTTATTAATAAATAATTAATTTAGTTTTTGAATTCATTGAACAATAACTACACCCACTAAATAATAACAACACATATTAATTAATTCTAAACTATAAATAGTGTTTATACGTCAATACAACTATCAATCAATTATTTTGATGTTTGAGTGTCTTTGAGATCAATGGCCCACAAGGCGAAAGTCATTCAGGTACACAAAATTCTCCTCCCGATTTGTGTTCTACCGATTTTTATAAACCTAAATCGTTGCATTGTACCGATTTGTCTGGTTTTAGGAAATGGTTGAAGCATTTGAACAAGGTCCCAAGAGTGGAATTCTAGACATTTTTCAAAAAATATATTCATGCCGTTATAGTAAGTATTTAGTTTGATCAATCTTATCCAAAAAATATTATTTTGATGAAGGATTCATATATCGTTATTTTTTTCGGTCGAATTTTCGGTTTATGGGTTTAGGTCGGAGTCAGTCTAATGCTTTTGCAACAACTTCGGAAAATACCAGTGTGACATATTACGCAAGTTCTATCCTTGAAAGAGCCGGTTAGTGACCATATCCAATTTATGAATTCAGTTATTTTTTGAATTTTGTATTCGAAATTAGTATAAAAATCGGTATAATTATTATAAATATCAAAATGTTTATTTATTCTCATGTTTAGGTTTTCCAAGCAGCATCGGAATAATGATACTGTCGATCGTCATGGTATTTTATTTGAGTTTACTTAATTAATTCGGTTTTAGAATCTTTTTGGACCGACATGTGATTTCAAATTGGTTTTCGATTTTTTGTTTTTTTGAAGTTACCGATCTTTGTTGGGTTTGATATTGGTCGACAAAGTGGGACGTCATCCTCTTCTTATGGTACGTTTAACCGTGAAAATTAGATATGTTTCTTGATTTTAACCTAATAAATCGGTTAAGCTAACCAAAAATCGATTTTCTAATTCCATATCGGCTACTGATTCAATTAACCAGCTGAAATATATTTTTATAGTTTTTGGCTTCATCTATGTTTGATATATAAATGTGTATGTGTATCGTATGGTGGTTTTTGAGATACTATTTTATATTTCACAAAGTGATACAAAAGAACTTATGGTTCTCAAAACTTGAAAAAGTAGAAATATTTGCAGTAACAAGAGGAGAAAGATGATAAAAAAGTCAGTTTTTTATAAGTAAATTCTTCGATACAATTGTAAAATATTCGATACGGTTTGCTTGGAAACCCTTTCCATGTTTTTATCAATGTCTTGATGAACAAAAAAATAAGTTAAAACGCTGTTAGACTTTCCAGTTTTTTTGCCTAGATATCTATTTCATCGTGGAAAATAGAAACTGATGGATGTTTACCATAATTTTTTTAATATCTAAATTAAAAAATTTTAATAATAAAAAATTAATTAAACTCCAATCTCTGTAGGAAAAATTTGAAAATGAAAAAGATTAATGGTCAATAACGTTAAGTCAAATTGTTCGATTTATTGTCTATTATTATATTT